AGGAATTGGGAGTGGGGCCCAGTAATATGTCTTATCAACCCTTGCACATGATTCCAATGCAAACTCGTTCTTAATAAGATGTAGCCTTAATTTAGAGGTCAAAATGTGATTTAAAAAAAGTCCACCTTAGAAATAAGGTAACTTATTAGACTGTCATTTTAACACACTGTCCTCTGTGCTACTTCCGATTTGCAAATTTTTTCTTACTTACAATATAAATTCCCAATGACCGGATTTGATTGGCTTTATTTTGTTTGTTTTTTATCTGCTAGGTCACATCACTACAAATAAACATCCTTGAGATCAGGTGTTGACCCTAAATCCAACTAGCTGTGACCGAAGTGAGACTGGGATAAGAGAGCAAGTGGTACAAAACGTAACTAGCTGTTACAGGTGCTTTGGGCAGTTTCCCAAAGAAGTGTGTTTGGAAATGTCAGGCAATTGACCTACTATAATTGTTTTAATTTAATGTTGATAAAGTATTTCTCCTGTGAAGACAATGGAATGTTGATATTTTATGCTAATTTTATACTTTGTTTTTATTATGTTTATATTTTTAAAATACAACATTTTGGTGTTTAAAAAATTTTAATGCTTTTCCTTTGGTAGTTTCACATGCTTTATAAATAATTCTTTTTAAAATCAATTTTCTGTCAACAATATCTTCAGTTAATCATCTCCTGTTCGTTTTTCAGCTGTATGTTTCATTTATATTTAAGCATCTTTTATTTTGGCGGTACGTCAGCCTCTCACTGCTGTGGCCTCTCCCGTTGCGGAGCACAGGCTCTGGACACGTAGGCTCAGCGGCCATGGCTCACGGGCCCAGCCCCTCCACAGCATGTGGGATTTTCCCGGACCGGGGCACGAACCCGCATCCCCTGCATCGGCAGGCGGACTCTCAACCACTGCGCCACTAGGGAAGTCCTATATTTAAGTATCTTTGATAACCATTTGTTCGTAGAGAAAAAAGCAAAGCTCTGACTGGGACAAAGGAACACTCT